AATTTAATTGAATTGCATAGTAATCATATATTTGATTGTAAGAACATTATTTATATATGCATCTATGTATCAAAATGAAATAAACATAGTATAGATTGTAATAAAAATGATTTCGAGATATGCAAAGGGTGGGTTATAACATTCAGGAGGAATTTTCTTCTCGCCTGTCAAAAAATTTAGGTCTTACACGTAGAGATTGTTTGGAGATTTGCATGACAATGAGAGCGTAAATGTCATTTTATTCATAACTTTGCTCAAATTTTCATTGACTTAAGATATGAAATCATTCTTTATCGAGAGAAAATGGCTCTAGTTTTCTGAATTGAAATCTCTTTAGGCGTTCAAAATTGGAGAAACAAATATTGGATCGGTCAAAGTGGGTAACATCCACATCACATATCCGTGGATTTCCTAGAAATACATGGTAGCATCTATTAAGACATTGCACCACATACGATCATAGTATGCTACTAGTGGAAATGGAACAGGGCACCATTGGGTGATTGAGATGGTGTTCTTATCATTCCAAGTTACCTTGTAGGGCTAGGGATGCAGTTCAGTGGTGAGCTTCATCCTAGCTAATGTAGAGTTAACAATTATGCATTATCGTTATAATTGATCAATTTGCATGCTATTCTTAAAATATGGTTGGAAGATAGTCGTGTGCTTCCTGTCAGTGCCAGCTTTTAGGGGTAGCTAGTAAACATTGCACAATAGTTAAGTGTGAGCCATCTAATGCTTCATTAGCATCACTAGCTTCATGCTTTCATCATAGATTCACATTCTAGAGAACCATCTTCATGGTTTTCCTTGTATTGCAAAACTAACACAAAAACCCTGGATCTCCCACTGTCTGAGGCCCATATAGGACCACTGATTCTATCCTTATGTACTAGGATTTTTGTTTTAACAAGTTATTTATGCTGGTATTTCTTTGATTTTTATGTGGAACATACATTTTTAATTTTTGGCTGGATAAAATTTCCTTTAATCATTCAAAACTATAACTTTTATCTAGATATTACATTGTATATTATTGGATATTCAGGTCCTCCAAAGAGAAGCTTTCCAAAAACAAATGTTGGAGAAGTTGATATGGATTTCAGCATTTATGCTTGTTGGAGCGCGTCATCAGGGAGCTACTGTTGGCGTTGTGGAGAAGGATTATCGATCTGAGGTAAGTACTTCTATGTAAACTGGGAAAGCAAATAAAGAAGATTGCGTGCAACACCCAGCATTAGAATTATGAAAAATTATGTTTTTGGTTTTAATCCCAAATCGTATGGATCAAAACGTTTTAATATAAATATATTATGAAGCATATATTCACCTTTTTTTGCTGCAAATTTATGAAATCTGGATTCTTCAATGTCGGATAAAAGGTAATGCTGAGGTTTTTTTGAAGGTTATGGTTGATCTTGTTTACTGTCTGTATATAGCGTGCCCTGAACGTTTCTTATGCAACTCACGAAGCATTATTTCGTTTACAAAAGGTTTATTTTCATATGTAGATAATATCTAAGGGGTGATATAACTTAGGGATAATAACAAAAAGTCTCTTGTTTTTTACAGGCAAACTGATATAATTCTTATGCACGCACTATACATTGGTATCTCATTTCTTAAATCCATCTAACTACTTCCTCGATCTGTTGAAACCCCAAGCTAGGTTCTTTTTGTTACTTGCGGTTGTAATGAAGTCTTAAACGAACACAATATGATGATGATTTGGTAATTATTTTAAAAGAAAAGGTATATGACAAAAAGATGAAGCAGTGTTATAACATTTTGATGCGGGCCACCGCCGACTGGAGGAGAAATTTCATCTTGAAGGAAAATTAGGGCAAGCCCTAATTTGTGAAACCTAAGGCATATCACATTTCTCACTTGATATTCTCAAAATATTTGATTTTTAGGATGTTCTAGTGTTAATTTCCAATTAGCTCAATTTTTATAGTTGTTAGTTCTCCTATATGCATGGGAAAATTGGCAAAGAAGCATCGATCTATACTCCATTGTTCATCATGTACAAAATGGAGGGGACTTAACTAGTGGTGACACCCAGGGACCTTCTTGCATTATCGTGCGGCATGATAAATGACTTAATAAACCATGTTCAATTTGTTGCTCAGTTCTTTGGTTTCTTGACATATTTGGACTTGATTATTTTTTCTTTATTATTTTTGTGAACATCTTAAGCAGTGAGGGCATTAGTGTATTTATGACCCTAAGACTTTCCTATATAAGGATATTTATGAATAACTTCTAACGAGTTCAATGATATTGAAATTTTACACCCACTTCTTACTTTTTTTGTCTCTTTCCTCTCTTGTTTCTTTCTCTCCCCCTCTTTTTGTGCCCCTCTCCTTGACATTTCTCTCTGGCTGCGCCATCTTTACCCATCTCACCCACATTATCATGCTAAAAAGATGTAGAAATTAAATTCAAATTGCTTACATTCCTATTCCAGAATTACTGTGATGCTATTCTAGCTATCAAGCAACCCTAAAACCCTTCCAAGAAACAATGTAACCTCTCCTACACCTCCATTACCCGTTCAAATCTAAGACTACCCTAAATTTGTTGCTTATTCTTTCCTTAAATTCATTGCAATCAATTACAATTCATTTGCCAATGATCAAGCTCCTAGCATCTCTGTAAACGTGTCCTCGCCCAACCCCCTTCACTTGCATTTCTTTCCACCGCTTGCATTTTGCACTTGTAACACTTGTTGTGCCTCACTTCTAATGAGCACTCGTTACATACCAATAATATATATACTCCATGCATCCTACTATTGCTCCCCTACTTAGGGTCTGATCTTTTTGGCCTTAACCCCTTTCAATAATTTGAGTTAACCATAAATTTATATGCCTCTCTCTTCATGGTGGCATGACTTCTCTATCTACTCTTAATGATTCAAAACCCTCCTCTACAATCAATATCCCCATCAAATTGAAAGGTATCAACTCTCTCTTATGGATGAGGGCTTTTTTGTTTCCTTATCGGTTCTCATGAAAATCTTGATGAATATCCTCTAACTCGCGATGAAAATATCCAATATTTCAAATGACAAGCATCTAGCTTGTTGACCTCACTTTTGATCTAATGCATGAATTTTAAACTCATATCCTTCAGTGTGATAAGTTTAAAGCATGGGTGAGTCATCTTAACCAAGTTGACCGGTCAAAGTGATCAAACTTATTAAAAATTTTCAAAATATTAAGAAAAGGTAAAGTTGATCAAATCTCATGCTTGCATGCCACATGGCTTCCAGGATCCCCCTATGGTCTATCCTAATCACCTTGACCAAGTTTGATCAGGCAAAATGGTCAAGCTAGTTAAAAATTAAAAAAAAAAATACTTAAAACGACAAAATTGGCAAAATGCTTGGATTGATCTCCCAACCTTAGACCAGCTGATTTGAACCCCCTCCAAACCACTATAGAATGCACCTAGAAGTTTTTTGAACCCAACCCATGCCTTGGTTCAACCCAAATGGTCCCTCCCCCACAATGCAACATGTCAAATGGGCTTTCCACCTTGGTTTGTCCTTACCTAGCCAAAGGCTGCCCACCTAACCTCATGGGAAACTTGAAAAATATCTAAGGAAGTGCTCCAAGCTTTCTCAACCCTTCATGCAAACCCCATGATTTAGAATAGGGCAAAACCCTCCAAACCCCTCATAACACACATAACACCCAAAAACTCTCCAACCAAGCCACCTCTAGAGCTCCCATTCCTTTCATTTGGTTGTTGGAGCTTCCTTTCTCACTTCCACACTCTTTCCCACCGCTAAAAGTGTGTTAGAGGAGAGACCTAAGGCTATACATAGGTTGTTTTCCTTCCCGTCATCCTAACTTTCGATCCAGGCGGTTTCAAGAGGAGATTCCTTCAGAGAACTTGTTCCTCTCATCCTTACGAAGAAAATGAGCCCAAGAATGAGCCATTCAACCAGTGGATAAAGGTTTATTGCGACTTTTTGTTAAAATTTTGATTGTGAATAACTCTCAAAATACATCATATAAAGCTCCCAAAATCAAGGTGTAGGTAGTTCATAGGTTCATAAACATTCCCTAAAATCTCATTAAGTTTGGCCCAGTGGATAACCTGCAGCAAACAAAATAAATTTTTTAAAAAAAGTTGTTCTGAAGGAATAAGATGAAATATGGACCGTCTATCTTTGATTAAACACTAATGTGGATCCCACACGTCGACATATGGCAGCCACTGCCTAGTGCCCATCGCCACCCATTGCCATTCCGCCGCCTTCCACTGCCTGAAATTAAAAATAAATGAATAAAACTAAGAAAAATGTACATAACCTAAAAAATTCAATAATCTTGGGCTCTATGGGACCAGAATGATGAGTCCTACATTTTAAAAAGAAAATCAAAGTGTTTTGATAGATATATTGAGAGTAATTTGCATTTGAACCTGTGAGTATTTTGCAAATTACTCTCCAATCGGGCATCGTCTTGCGATCAAATTTGGACAAAGCAAACTAGAGGATGTTCCCTACTTCCCCTAATTTTTCTCTGGGCTTGGTGAAGTCCCTAGGTTATGTATTTGATATTTCAAAGTTATGGGCCACTATTTGACCCAAATCTTTGAAAATTTACTTCTCTTAGTGCATATAGGCCAAGGTCCTCTTGTTAAATGCAATGTTTCGCATATTCATGCATCATTTACATATCATTTTCTTACATGTGTGTTCTCTTTGTGTTATTTGCGAGGGACAATTTTCTTTTGTCGGTTGACGAGTCATAGCTCCCTGGGCATCAGGAGAGGCTCCTTCATTATGTTGGGGCATACATACTTGCCCCGGCTTGCTTCTAGATTAGGTATAATTTATGTAACTTTATTAAGACCTCTTTTTTGTTGTGAACTACTTGGTTACACTTGCACACACACTTTGAGCTATCTTTAATTTCACCCAAATACATATGATAGGATGTGTTAGACATTGGTCATAAGTTAGCTCACTAACGAAGTCTTGGCCTTATTTGTTAAAGCTTGCCCCCTCTGTGAATCTTAGAAACCTTCATATGGTCAACTAAGCATGTAGTGTAAGTCACTCATTTGTGCTATGTGCATCGATGTATTTTCAGACGAAGCGGATCCTGCGAGGATGTTTTCTTTGATTTTGCTAATAAAATATTTAAGCAACTATAAAAGTTGCATCCTTAGTGATTTTGAGTTTTTAAATCTTGTTTCCATGAACTTTTCAAGAATGTGTAAAGGAAAATAAAATATGAGCTCTAGTATGTTAGGTTGATCTATTTGTTTTCTTTGTGTAGTGTCTCTCCAATAGGTGATAGGCTCCACTGCTTCAACCTTAGTTTAGAAGCCTCATGTTTGAGTTGCATTTGATACAACAACAACAATAGCAACAACAAGCCTTTATCCCACTACGTGGGGTCGGCTACATGAATCCTTTTTCTCCATTGTGTCCTATTAAAAATCAAATTCTCATTTAAATCTAATAGAGAAAGTTCATTTCTAATATTTTATAACCAAGTCTTTTTAGTTCAAAATTTTCATGATTAGATTCTAATATATGTATATCTTTTATATTACCCGTTCCGTCAATACAGTTTATAAACTGGAAACCTCGAGTTGCGGGGCTACTTGTCTTAAGGAGGTTTTGGTCCTCGTGCCTGTTGTGATAACGCCACGAATGAATTGATGGAATATGTGTTAAATTATAAATCTTACAAAAAAGAAATCTCTATTTTAAAAGTATTTTCAAATATAACATATAATGTTGGAAAAGCAAATGTACTTCAAATCAAGCTCTAGTGCCTTAGCTTATATTTGATTTGTATTTATTTTTGCATCCTCTTCTTTGATGTGGGTATATAGGATGGAAATCTCGAGCTGCGGGACTGTGTCATAAGGAGATTTTGATTCTCGTGCCCGTTGTGACAATGTTACATACCTCACAAGTTAAGGGAGAAGAAATGTTCAAAGACTTGCACAAATTATTCCCCTTTAAAAATTTAAAACCACATTCAAGAGCCCAAACCAACTCCTTAATCACTTAAGTGTCAAGCGGTAGTTCTCATAGAACCCTTGTATATCTTTATGTAGTGGGTTTTCATTCCTATGTCACCCTTTTAAAATTGATTAATCTTAGACATAGGAAGCCTAGAATTTTTGTGGTGGGCAATACCCACTTTAGTGTCACCTATCGGCCTTACCTCGATACTTAGGAAACCAAAGAGGTATTAGCCACCCTTGTAGCCTCATTATAGTCTTAGTTAAGTTTAAGATTGAGGATGAACCATTTGCCCTTAATTTTTTTATAACTCTAGCATAGATTAAAGCCCATGTATTTTAGACTCTTTATAACTAATGATCAAAATTATAACTTTAAAATTAATTTATAATTAATCCACCTTAAATAGTTAAATGGCTAATCACTTAAAGAGAAATCTCTAGGGTAATATTAATTAATATGAACTCGATCTTGCAACTTTAACCCTTCACCTAATGATGGTAGTTAGCTAACACTAACTTTGCACACATTTAAATGTTGAATATGACACATTTTTATAGGCATCCTATGGTAGGTTGTATAGCTAAGATAATATTTTCCTTTTTTTATTTTTTTACTTTGCACTTGTGATGATGTGATGTTATGTTTTTGGTTTGGATTGTTTATGCTTGTTTTATTTTCTTTTTTGAAGATTGATGAGTGGGCACTTGCCCTTAAGTTGTGAGAATTTTTCTAGAAATATCTTCTATAGGTGGTCATGTTCTCAAGGTCTAATAAAAATTTTGTAATTATCATTATAAGTATACTCTCTAATAGGTACCGCAAGGATTACTAAGCCCTAGAGAATGTGGTCTTAATGACTAAGTTTGTGTGTAAATATAACTGCTTTATTATAATTATGCTAATCTCTATTTTGTAGGGAGCTTATGTAATTTTCTTTTCTTTAGTTAACTTCAGTCATGTTGGAGTAGCTCCAATGGAAGATAAGATTAGAAAGAGTAGCCTTAGATGGTTTGGTCACATAAAATGACGACCTTCCAATGAACCGGTTAGGAAAGCATATGTATTAGATTTGGCTCATGTTAAGAAAGGTAGAGGTTTAACTAAAAAGACTTGGTTAGAAAATATTAAAAATAACATTTTTTATTAAATTTAAATGAGAATTTGACTCTTAACATGACACAATAGAGAAAAAAGATTCATGTAGTGGGATAAAGACTTCATGTTGTTATTGTATGTTATTTTAATTAGAAAACTTATGTAGGTATGTGGGTATTCCAGAAGGTAGGAGGTCAAACATGTGAAGGTTGATCAAGATCCACGTGCCATTTTATTGATGTATAGTTTTAGGTTGAGTTATAATTATGGTAGAGCTCAACTATCCATTTTTCTTTTCCTAGGGTGTATTACAGAACCCAACTGCATTTCTGGCCTCTTATTTATTATTTATTTTTTGATGATTGATGTGTATACTTCGTTTGCGCACTAGAACGGCTTGCTTTTATTAGGTTTATTTGATTGTTTTTCTTGGGGGTGGATCGGACAATGTCTTCACGTTAGACTCTTAGGATGTTAAATTTTCTATAAAAGATAAAATTTGCTTAATCAAGATAAAAGAAACATATGACTTAAAATCAACCAACATGCTTTTAAAATTTAATGCATGACCCTTCTTAGGTCAATTTTTAAAGTATAACTCGTATTCAAAACCAAGCCCACTTCATGGTGACTACCGACTAGTTCTGATTCCCCCTACCGTTCATGCATAGCCTTCTTGAGAGTTCTCTAATGTCCTTGCGCTTGTAGCCCTCCAAAAAGGTTAAGACACTATACTGATCACTATTCAGTTTTATATCATTTGATTATCTTTCATCTAAATTCTAGTATTTTGTGTGGCATTATAGGATATTCAATGGAAACTTGATACGAATACTGAAATAACAAACTTGCTAAATCAGTATCTATATGATATGGACACCTCTCCCTGACATTAAACCAATACCATGCCAATGGGAATACACCGGCAAGTTTCATCTTGACAACTCCATTGATAAATATAAGTATACTTAGTTACCAAATGTATTACTCTAGTATATGGGATCAATTATTTTGATACATTCTTTCTAATTATCTGGCTTAAATATCTGTCACCATTAATTTGCTATGAATGGATGTGAGCAATATTTTCTCTATGAAGATCTTACTGAAGCTGTGTATATTGAGCTATTACTTGGGTGCATTGTGCATTGGGAGATCAGAATATGCAAACTCAATAAGGACATATTTCTACTTAAAACATTTCATGCTTGGTCTGATACAAATTTTCAAAGTTCATGTTGAGGTCGACCTTCATAGTAGTACATCACTTCACTCTATCTTCTACAAACATAATTCATCTAGTTCTATTATCTTTACTATGCTTGTTGTCTTGTTGATGGCATGCCTGTTTCTAGGAGTGATCAGAATGAATTTATTGTGGTAAAGCACTATCTATAATAGTCTTTTCTGACCAAATACTTGTTGGTAATAGAATACGCCTACATTAAATAAAGAGTTTCATTGTCTCAAAGGAAGTATTCTGCTAACCATTTTTAGAAATTAGTTTGTTAGGTTGCAGATTGCAGATTGTTTGTCTCGTTAATTGACAATTAAAAGTTTACAAATGAGGAGGAAGTGTTTGAGGATGTTCATTTCTATCAGTAATTGGTTTGGAAATTTATCTTACTGTCAGCAGACCAAGTATCTGCTCGCTATTTATTCTAAGTCAACACATGTAAACTCGTAAACATAAATAATAGGATGTTGTTCTGAATATTCTTAGATACCACAAGAATGACCCAAAAAAGGACAACTATGGCTTTGTTTGGGACAACTTTCATACCGCTTCCTAAAACAGTTTTATAGTTTTAAACTTTCTAATTCAAAAAAAAAATTGTAGTAGAAAATTGTTTTAGTAAGTAACAAAAAAGCTGTCCCAAACAAATCCTATATCTTAATGTGGAAGCTTTATATGATGCTAATTATGTTGGGTCATTGTTGATAACAAATTTGCATCGAGCCGTCTGTGTAAGAAGCAATAAAATCACATGGAAGAGAAGAATTAAATATTGGTCGATGGATTAAGTGTTGAAATAGAATGCAGATCCTTGAAACTCTGTGTTTGATCATGGACATCAATAACTTCCTAGGGGAATTTGATTTTTCAATTTCTCAACTTATTGCTGTAAACTATGACATTTATGTTGCTATCTTTATTGCACTATTAATCATGTATTTTACGAAAGAACAAAAACTCATTAATGTTGATTGTCATTTTATTCAAGATGTGTTGCTATTAAAGAAAGTTGTTAATGAACATTTGGCAAATATATTTACCAAAATTTTGGAATCACTTTATCTTTTACGAACTGTTCAATAATTCGGTGTCAGTTGATATATATGCTCCATCTTAAAGGGGAGTGTTGGAAAATAGTAATATAAGAAAGTACTTAATTCTTCTTAGCGGTAGATATGCTTTTACTTATATTTTATATCCTCACTTTAGGTTATTTTCATCCTTATTTCCTTTTTTTTTTATATTTGATTTATACACCTATATATAGGCAGTCTTAGGAAAATGCAAGAAGTCCCCTGTTATAACAGTAGTTTCTATTTATTCCTGTTATAGCACCTGAGACAAGAGAAACTGAAAAGTCTAGATTTTGAATTTTTGACCGTCTCTTTTCAGTAAAAAGTGAATTTTTGCTTCCGATCCGGGTCAGGTCGTCGGGCTGCGCGGTAATTTGGAAAAGCACGTGCTAAATTTTGAGTTTTTATCGAGTCGGGTCCTCAGATCGTCGGTGCGCTACGTGGCGTCATTTAATTGGAGTCCGGATGTAGTGCTACGTCCGGTGTCCACACCGAATAAAAATTCCTATAACAGAGATGGCCAACGGGTCTCTTTTCAGTAAAATGATCCTTTCCTCTCTTAATTTTATTCATTTCCAGATTTTGTATTCTCAGGTCACAAGCCTCATTGCAGAACTGGAATCTGCTGCTGCAGCTGAGAGGCAATTAACATTTGACTATGGCTTGGAGGAGAGGCTATGTGCTTACTCCAGGGCTGTTGCACACTTCCCCACTGCTGTGAAAGAGGTCAGTACAGTTATTCAATTTAGGTTTCATTTGAGACGACTTTCTTTCTTCTTCTTGAAGCAGCTTTCTAGTACAAAATTAAAAATTTTGTACTAAAAAGCTGCTTCAAAAAGCATAAAGAAAATCGTCCCAAACAAAATCTTAATATAAACCAGTATCTAATTCTTGGCTTATTATTTAACAACTGCAATCATGCCCAGTTTAAGTGGAGAAATGGGTGGTTTTATTCACTGACTGAGAAGGCAATTGCTCTAGGAAAAAATGACCCTTGCCCACTCCACACAGCTTGGCTTAAAGAGATTAAGATCATATAAATTTCTTCCTCTCCATCGCAGCAAACTGGTATGAAGTTACTCTTTCGAATTAATGGTACTTATTTTGGAACAAGGAATTAACTTCTGTAAAAAATTGAAAAAACTGAAATTCTGGGGAAGGGTCGTCTAATTGCCACAAATATGTTTAAGGTTTCGTTTGGGATGATTTTTTTACTGTTTTTTAAAGCAGGTTTTTTAGTACAAAATTTTAAATTTTTTTTTTTTTTTACTAAAAAGCTGCTTTAAGAAGCAGGAAGAAAGTCATCCCAAACAAGCCTAAATAATCAAGACTTAGGCTTCGTCTGGAATGATTTTTTTTCTATTTTTTAAAGCAATTTTCTAGTATTAAAATTTTAAATTTTGTACTAAAAAGTTGCTTTATGAAGCAGTTAGAAAGCTATCCCAAACGAAGCCTTAGACTCCCATTTTGGTGAGAGAAGTCACCAATGAAAGGTATAATCTATATAAGGGAGCTAGTAGGAAATTAAAAATTTTCCATGGAACATTATCTCAGAAGACCAATGATTCCAAATTCCTTTGGGCCTTCCCAATTATTTGCATTATATTTCCAAACTATCTGATGCCAAGCTATATCTTTATTTATTTTTAAGTTGCAATTGCATTATCCTTCCTAAGTATTTGATGCCAACAATAATGCTTGTATTATAAGACTTTTCCTTAGTAATCGAACATTGAAGGACCATCGGTGATCATTCAAATATAACTACAACTTCTTCACTTCTTTATCCCACTATGTGGGGTTGGTTACATGGATTATTTTCGTCCATTGTATTTTATTAAGAGTTAAATGTTCATTTAAATCTAATAAAAATGATAATTTTTAATATTTTATAACCAAATCTTTTTAGGTTTACTTTCACCTTTCTTGACATAAGCCAAATCTAATACATCTACACTCTTAATCGGGTCATTGGAAGGCCGTCATTTTATGTGACCAAACCAAGGTCTGAAATTGCGCAATTGGGTATTGAGGCTTTTTTTGCTTGTGAGATGTAAGCCTCCAAATCTAAAAATTGTTTAAAGTCAAAGTAAAAGTTAAAATTCATTTTTAATATAATATTTAAATAATATGTTAAAGAATGGTATTAAGTTTTTATTGAACTATGACATATATATATATAAAATAAAAAATTGTATAAGATATAAAATGTTAAGTGATAAATTATGTGAAATATAATTGAAATTTAAATATTACAGAAATAAAACAACATAAAATGCATGAATTATATTAAGTGTCATATAACATCAAATTTAGTTTTAATTTTTTTTTCTTTCTTAGTTGTCTATTCGTATACGTTCAATTTTTTAAAAATTTGAAAAGATTGGTTGCAACTCAAATCATCTGTACTATTATTACTAAGGGGGTTTTTATTTGAATCACTATCGTAACAAATTGATCTCTTCTCTATCTCATCTACTTCTCAATAAATAAACATTCAACATGTCATAACATATATTCTAAAGTGAAAATGCCTCTAAGTTAACCTTTAAGTTCTCTTTCATTGTATAAACTTGCAATTCTTTCTCCTTAAGCATTTATGCCTCATTAGATGCCTCATTTGCATATAACATAAAAATATAATATCATAATAACATAATATTTAACACCCGTCCCAAAAGTATCATTTGTACTGATCAGGTACACATTTAATGGATCACCTTTACCATTTGGTTCTAACGAACCCTTTTACCATTTGGCTCGAAAGAGCCCCTTTACCCTTAGCTTAAAAGTGTCCTTTTATCATAGATACTTCCGCATCAAACATGCAAATACAAATATTCATTATTTATTCATAAAAGAGGCTTATGTATACCATTCATGTGTATGTTATCATATGGAGTTACATGTTTGCTACTTACATGAGAAAAGAGACATGCTCATATAGGAAAACCCGACCCGAACCCGACCCGAAAATTTCGGGTTCGGGTCAACCCGAACCGGGTCGGGTTCGGGTTAGAGATTTCGACCCGTTTGTAAAACCGGGTCGGGTTCGGGTTGACCCGGAAACCCGAAATCGACTCGGTTTGACCCGTTTTTAATTAATTTTGGAGGATTTTAATGAATTTTTATGAAATAAGTAAATAATATTTCAAAAAATTATAAATATTATTGCCCAAATTAAATTAATCTTGATTTATTTTAAATTAATTGAAGTAAATCTACCCTTAATTTGATTTAAATTTAAATAAAATGAATTAAATAAAAAAAATTTAATTAAATATACCCGAAGCGGGTCGGGTCGGGTTCGGAAAACCGACCCGTTTGCAAAAACGGGTCGGGTTGAACAGTGTCGGGTCAATTTCGGGTTGGACCCGAACCCGACCCGTGACCTGTTTTTGACAGGTCTAAAAGTGGCTTTGGACCTACCAAATAATTGCATTCAATAATCTACTCCCAAGTATGTGGTAAGCAACTTGTACTGTATTGTTTGTAGTATAAGACTTTTCCACAATTTATTCTGGAAGATCCATTTAGACCCCTACTCTTTGAATATTATTAAGTTGCCTATTTATATTTTAAATATATAATTGTATGTTGACCTACACACCAAGTGCGCGTGAAAATGAGCGAAATTGCCAATAAAAATGATAGTCGTGGCACGGGGTGTGTTACTTGAAGGGTCAAACAAGTTGATCAATTATTTTTATAAATAATTTTTTTTTTTTTTTAAGTTTACAAAGAGCCCCTTAGATGTTTTAATTTGTTATAAAAATAAAAAAAGTAAATACACACTCAAATACATTTAGGTTTTAAGAAATAAATAAAAATAAAGCACAACAAAAAAAAAAACCAAAAAAGCAAAGTCAACAGTCAAAACCTTATCTGTCAAATTGAAGAAATATATATAAATAATAGATTAGAAGAAAAAAATAGTTCAAAGGTTTAACCTAAAATATTAAATTTATTTTAATCTGATTAAAATGATATAATAATTATATTTTTATTAATTCAATATGTAATATTTTAAATTAGGATACTTATAATTGAATACTTTGAATACTATTTTGAATAAAAAATTTAAGGTATAATATTTTTGAATATTTTTTCTATGTATAAATACACTTATATAAACGTTTGTAAAAATAAATGGAGTACTAACACGAAATTGAAATGTTAATGACAACCGAAGTTAGAAGAAATTTAACTAACTTCACTCTCTAAATTTATAAGACATTCAACATAAAATTAAGATATGCAAATTTAAGTAGTTTTTAATCTATACTTTTATTCTAGTCATCTAATTAACATAAAAAATCACAATTTGACCAATATTAAAACCAAACGGTCTAAAAAAATTCAAATTTATTAATACTCCTATTAAAAGTATAAAATGAATAAACAAAAAGTCATTAAATTTGGATGTTCTAATGGAAGTAATCTCTTTAACCAAATTTGATTAGGCCAAACTATAGTCATTAAGCCAATTAAAATAAATTTAAAAACCTCTTGATGACTCATAAATAGAACAATAAATCACATCTTAATTATATTCAAGTCTTTAAATAGATGTATGCCCCAAGTCAATGTATTTGATGACAACAGTGATGTTTGTATTATAAGACTTTTCCTTTGAATATGGAATATGAACTAAGGAAGAAACCTAAAAGACAAATGACAATAGAAGTACAAAACAAACAAGTTGTTTAAAATGAGGAGCTCTATTGTTCTAACATTTGTCATGCTCAGAAACTAAACACTATTTTAAGATTATAAATAATGAATAATGAAAACAAAGTTTGAAGAAAAAAAGTACTATAAAGAAAAGAGCTTGCAAGAAATCTAAGTTTGATAAGAAAATATGCATAAATGTTCTAATGAGGAGGATTATGAAAAAAAAGTGGTGGTGAGATGACTCAATATAAAGCCACAATAAGATTTTGATCGATGAGTAGTCGGTTTGTATAGTGAGGGGGTTTGGAGGTTCAAGATTCGTCTGATTGTGGTATGTGAATGGGAGGGGAGGAGATAGTTCTAGTGAGGTAAGCCATTAGCTCGAAAGATTTTGAGTTTAAGATGTCCATGTGAGGTGGTTCTCACGAGTGAGTTGAAGGGTGATTATTTTCTTTTGGCTTCATTTGGGATGGCTTTCTTAATGCTTTTTAAAACAGATTTATAGTATAAAAATTTTAATTTTTATATTAAAAAACTATTTTAAGAAGCAACAAAAAAGCTGTCCCAAAGAAAACCTTAAGTTAGACATTAAGAATTTCAACTGTGTGGGAATGGGTTGTCACCTGGTTAGGGGATTGAGGTCACTTTTGTGCTTAATATGTTGGTTTGAGAGAGATTCTTGGGATTCATTGTCTTGAGAAGAAGAATACAATGGGTAGAGTTGTAGGTGGTGCAATATGCAGTATATGAATTAATTGCCAATGGGAAGAGGCTCTGATAACATGATGAAATGGTAAAGCATTAAAAGACTTAGGCTTCATTTGGGACGGCCTTCTTATTGCTTCTTAAAACAATTTTTTAGTACAAAAATTTAATTTTTGTACTAGAAAGCTGCTTTAAGAACAGTTAGAAAGCCTTACACGAGGGTAAAAAAACTGCTGTAGAGAGCTGATGCTATTGCATTTTATTAATCCTAATAGTAAAGAAGTTACAGACATTACTTTCCTCTATTTTATTCTTCAAAAATATCCAGACATTATTTCTCTTCTTCGGGCAAGCAGAACTAAAACAATTCCTTTTTAAAAAACTTGCGGAGGACAAAATTCACAACAAATAAAGTTCAAATTTATTTGAATCTAAAGCATCATAACAAACTGTAAAGAGCCTCTAACTATCCGAACACTTATGTTGAGAAAGGAATTGGCTTCCACAATTAGCAATTCTTTTATATAATAATGTGCTTAAGCAGGAAGTTTCTGGCATTCATCTAAGGGTATTAGTTGATTAATCTGCTCCAAATATATCAACAATTTAATGGTATTGATCTAAAAGAAGTATCACACAAGAAGAAAATTTTAAATAAGATTTATTTTTCCATATTAAACACTTAATTATCTTATTATAATGTCCTCGCTGTTTTAATATTAAATGCAACAGTGAAAATTTCCGAATATGGAAAAAATTAGCACCTTCACATATTTTCCATGTGAAACAATAGAAGATTGCCTCTTGAGGCTTTTAAAAAACATGAATGCGAAAGCTGAGTTGCAAATTTGTAACCAAAGAATACAGGAAATTCTCAGTGCACAGAGGGTGTACCGTAATGTCAGCTCATAAGCATTGCAGGAACCTTTTAATTTATATCTCATCAGGAAATGGAGGCAATGCCCATTGCCCTGGATCGAAATCCAACAGTGATGTAAGAACTTGGTCAGCTTTTTTATGATGTGAAGCATCCAACCGGGGATCTGGAACCATTACTACAGACCTGGTTTTTGAAAACAGCCAGATGTTATTGAATAACAAATCTCAAGGCTAAATAGCTTTAGAAATTCTTAAGAATTTATTAAGAAAACTCAATGTTGAAGATTTAGGCTTCGTTTGGGACAATTTTCTTTCTGCTTCTTAAAGCAGCTTTTTAAATTTTTGTACTAAAATACTGCTTTATGAAGTAGTAATAAAGTCATCCCAAATGAAGCCTTAATTCCATATGGATGCACTTTCGAACCACCAAATTTTCTATAGATTTTTTTACAAGTGGAGTTTTTACATCCCTATCAGCAGCATAATTGAGGTTTGTCCATCTCAATCTAATTAACGAGCATCTGGATGGTGAACTTATGATCAAGACATAAGGGTTAACATCAAAGGAAATATTGATTACTATTTTTTTATTAATTGATGTATTTGTAATTATTTTAATTTTATTGTTTCAAGTTTATCTATAATGGGATGAAGTTTTCTTAATTTCTTTAGGGGATAGTTATTTTTTAATTTTTATAGATCATTTTTATCTATAAATAGACCTTAAGACTTATTATTATATATCGAATTATTAGATTATTCTCCATAAAGAGCCTTTACTCAGTTCTCTCTTCAAGACTCTCTCTCTCTCGTATCCTATTCTCATTTATCTCTCTTGTTGATTCCTGCAACCTAAGTCTCTTTTTTTATGATTTCTCTCCAATTCCATATAGATCACCTCTATTTTCCTCTACTAAAATTCTAACAAGCTCTCTCTCTCTCTCTCATGCACTTCTGCTAATCCCTCACTCTCTTTTTAAAATGGCTTTCCCTTGATAGTTTCTCTCTTAAGTTTGTTTGTTTTTTCCAGTTCCCACTAAGTTAACTATTTCTTCTTCTAACACTATCACAATCTATTAAGGAAATCAAGGCCTTTTATTTCCAACCCTACAATACATCATTTTGAACTCTAAACTAATCTAATGGCCAACTAATGTGGAGGAATTTGAATTCCCGACCAAATCCAAGTTCAACTATGATGAAGGATCTTCAGTTCCCAGTTGAATCTAAAGATCAATACCAATAAGCGCTGAGGCTTTCGCTACCAAACAAGGAGAGGAAAGAAGAGGATTGAAGCTTACAGAGTAGCTGCTAAAGAGAGCGTGTGTGTGGGTATTTTTAGAGTGAGTGTCCTTTGTTTTTTCCTCATCCTTGCATAAGCCAGATGAGGAATGTTTAAAATAATAATAATAATAATAATAAAATTAAAAATTAAAAAAATAAAAATAAAAACAGAAGAGTAATGTTTTAATAGGCGACGGAATGCTTGCAAAGGCTGTAGTAGGCCAACAACATGGCTAAGAAATTTGGAGAGGATGTCAAGCAAAGACAGCATAAAAGAGGAGTGCAAGTAAATTATCTTAATGGAAAAGATGAAACTGCACTACGCCCAGTCCAAAATTGGGTAAACTTAACGGATTCATCTTTCTTCGTCCATTATTTATTTGATTTATTTCTTTTGTAAATTATTGAAACAAATCATTTTAATTCACAGAATTTTGGATAAATTCACAAAAATGTAGAGTAATTAGGAACCTATTTATTCCCTTAAATGTGCTTGGATGACTTGATTTGGCCAATTAAGCCACTTAAGCAACTCATTTCAACCAACACAACTTTTAATTAAACAGCAACAATAACATCAAGCCTTTGTCCCACTACGTGGGATCGGCTACATGAATCTTTTTTCTCCATTTTGTTCTTTTAAAAGTCAAATTCTCATTTAAATCTAATAAAGAAAGATCTTTTCTAATATTTTCAAACAATTTTTAATTAAAATTGGGATAAAATAAATGACCGCCTCAAACAATGTATACTATTCCAGTCACTTCCAACAAGACTAAATCCATGACAACAAAGGAATTAGCATATTAGGCGTCTTTATGTTTTTATTTTTAATTAAGAAATATCCCAATTTCAATGTAAAATTCTTGTCCATGCCACATTGTGGTGGAAGGTGGTGGGGTTTAAGTTTATAGATGCACCTACAAGTTCTAAAATAAAACAATCAATCAAATATCCTTATCTTTAATATTGTAAACATCAATTGTATCATGAGTAACAAATTAGAAAAATTAACGGCTGTATGATGGAGAAATGATGTGAAATATTGAGTCAAAAGCGTTTTTCATATAGTTACTCACATTCCTGCATTCTTAGCAGCAGCAACGCCAGCCGGTGCATCTTCAAATACCAAAACCTCAGCTGGATCAACCCGCGTCTAAACAAAACAAGTTTTGACATAGCGGATTAGAAGTTTCTTAATGAATACTAGGAAAATTAACACCATCAGAGAAAAAATAAATTTGCTTGCAATTCCGATTTTCTGAACCAGTAGTTTATAGTAGATGTCATTCCACGAGCAAAAGATGGTAGAGCCTTACACATTTTTTGATAAAGATCCCGAATAAATTAGGGTTTATAGGAAAGGCTGCTTAGGTAGGTGCAGTGCACAGATCGCGCATAAAAAGAGAAGTATATTTATTCAGTGTAAATGAGAGGAGTGATACCTCAAATCTGTTCGCAGCGACGAGAAAAATATCAGGAGATGGTTTGCCTTGCTTCACATCTGGATCATCACCCATAACAATATGATGCATTGCAGAGAAAATTTCACCATGCCTTTGTGTTTTGAGGTCAAAATGCCGTTTGTAAGACCTGTTTAGAGCCAGAAAATTTTTGCAACACATTTTCATTGCATTCTTAAGTTTTTTAAGATATGCGGATATAAAATTAATCTTCTACAGTTAATATTTATGTGATTCCATCTCCCTGGGATTCAATCAAATAAAATTCATTGAGATTAACCCTATTTCTAGAATACTTCTTCAGAATTCTCTAATGGAATAATACTATGGAAATAATTCTTTATTTTTAATTCTATAAGTCATGTCCTCAACTATATACACATTCTTTGTATCTTTGTTAGAGATGTACAAACAATCACATATATATCACTTGGCCTTCATGTTGCCCTTAAAAATTATCTATTATTTATCCAATAAAATTGAATTTACTCAATATTTGTTCCTCTAATTTTGAAATCTCCAAAAAATTCTCCATTTTTGTAGCTTTAAGTTCAAAATAACTCTTAGTTATCAAAATTGTATCATTAGCAAATAGCAAATGCCAAAGTATCTCACTTAGGAATCTACCTTTTAAGCATCTTCATAATCGATAAAATAAATAAACTTAAAATTAATCTTTGATGTAAATCCATCTAGGCCTAAAAACTCTTTGGTTGTGTTTTAGTGCTAGCTATTACTCCATCAAATATATCATGAATAACTTAAATAAATCTTTGATATTTTTACTCCTTAATGCCCTCAAAATCCATTCTCATGGTACTCAATTAAATGACATTTCAAGGAAAAAAAAGTATGATTAAGGGGCAATTTCGTTGAAAAAGGTAAAATAAATACAATGTATTTGACATATTTTGATTTGTTTGGATGAGTGCAAAATAAATGCAAGTGAATATTTTATTTTATTTGGCTTGAAGTATATAAATATAGTGTAAAGCCCAATGATTGTTGTGGTTGTCGGTAGCGGTGGCGTGGCGACCAAAAGCAAGTGGTAGCAATGGTAAACTGCAGTAGATGGTGGTAAACAACAGTAAAGGCAGCCGACAGCACCGGGGACAATGGTCGGCAGTTGTTGTAGCAACGTCAACAGTGGTCGGAGGGTGGCGACAAGCGACAACTAGTGACCGATAGCAGCAGCAGGAGACGGTAATGATCGAGAATTTACAATGTATTTGAAAATCGACCAACTTGATTTTCAAATACACCAAAATTAAACTAGATGGTGAAATCCAAATACTTGAAAATTTTACTCTACATTTCAAACTAAACACTAAGATTTTTAAACCCCATGCATTTGAAATACTTTATACTCGTTTACTTCAAACCAAACAACCCTCAAGTATTTTAATTATACTTTTTATGCTTCCTTTCATCACCTTAACATTAAAAAAGGCCTTCGTTGTAGATTATTCTGGTCTAAAATCTAATTGATTCTATTGTATAACTGTAATTTTTTTAGGCCTCCATTTTAATTATCCTCTTTAAGAACTTTGTTATATGACTCTTAAATTTGATTAGCTATAATTATCAAAATCATGAAAATCTATGTTGACAACATTGTCATTTTTTGTATTATATTATTTTATGTTGTTGTGTGCTTTGTTGTATGAAGTGAACAATTGTTTGGTAAAATACCTGTTGAAATTGCTAGCTGTAGTGTTCTAAGAATTTAAGTTGTTTGTTACAAACTATTGTGATAGTAATATTAGTTGTTTAAAAGGCCAAAAGTTGCTATAAATTTCATGTAAAACTAATTTAATATGCTAATTAATTATTAGCACATCAATTAATTGAAAAACTAAAAGAAATTAACTTTTCTACAATCTTAGGGAGTCAATCGAAGGATTTTTCTCATTAAAAAAAAACACTTATTTTAGAATATCAGCCCACTTATAATCCTTATAAAGCTATTTTGGCTTTTGTGTAGCTAAGTTTTTTCTCATTATGATGCCCTCAAAAACACATTCAAACAAAAGAAAGCATTACCAAACAGAGCCTTAGTCTTGGCATTAAATGAAAATATTAGTTAATCAAACTGCTCCAACAAATGTCACAACTCTCCAAAGCTTAGAAGTTAGAGCACATGGCTTAAAAGTTTTAACTCTATGCAATTCTTTGAAACAACAATTTCAATTATTTTGATTAGTAATGCAGCATGCTTTACGATTCAGTTCATTTTCTTCTTTAATAAATGCTTAGAACTCCTCAGAAAATAGTTTCTCAATTTTCTTTTCTTCTCTTCATTATAATCATGAACTAAGATCCTACTACATCTCACTTTTACATCTAACTTGATCAAAGTTTTTAAATATCCTTTCTCTTAACTTATTTTATACATCTCACTTTCTCATCACTTAATATCATTCCTGCTATACAAAACAGAGCCATAGCGTTGTCATTGATTACTATCCTCTAAGCAAAATTGCTACCTCAAGTCCATTCTTGAGATCCATGCATCAAACTGTTTACAAAATACAAAACCATAAACTTGAGACCGCCATGGAGATCCATGCTACAACACTTATACCATAAGATAAGATCAAGGCTGTAAGAAAAAAAATGTATCCACGAGGACCATGGCTACTAGAAAAGTTTATAGTTTTTTTAAGCTCAATTAGCCATAAATCATCATCAAATAGTACAAATCCACTTTGGCTCAGGAACCCGATCATATTCTTTGGCAAAAAAACAAGAAGGCTGGGTTCCAAACACCACTGTAAAAGTTGACTGGTGGAATTAATTTAGTTATTTTGGTTAAAGTTATCTCATGGCAGCAAGTTTAGGCAATTCTTCAAATAATCTGGAATTGACTTCAACAATAGTCCGAAACACACTCCTAACTTAACTTTTATCCTAAATTAATCTTTTTCTGTCAAATAGTTAAGCACAATTTATCCCTGTGATCACCCTTAGGGATTAATCTTTAAAAGCCTTTTAACGTTTTAAAAAGCCATCTGGATGAAAAAAACTTAATTGCCTGAAAAGTGTTATCACAAACCAAAAATCAATCTCCCGTTCCGAGATGATGAAACCATGTATTTTTAATGCAGTCTTCCAACGCTTTAAATCTTCTTAAACAATGATTTCAAATAACAAAAGTGACATTTACATTTAATATGCTTAGCAAATCATATTTAATCAGTTAAATTGTCTACCAAATGTTTAGCATTGTAGAAAACTATTTGGGTGAAAGGTCAACTATTGCTAATGATTATTCAAAGCCTGGAAATTCAGCATATCATCATTAGACAAGAATACCACAAAATGTAGATAGAGCCAATTTCAAACACCACGTATTATTTCAAATAAACGATATCAAATAATAAAGTATTAATATTCCCAAATGCCAAGAAAAGCGCATTCATTGCATTAAGCCATTGGTCGAAGGTTCCCTCTAGGTTAAGAGGCAGGGTGTAATTGGCTTCAAAGCCAACTGACACTAGGCATTTTAATAAAACATCATAATGAATGAAAATTCACAGTTACCTTCGTATGATTGCCGTGCATTACTGGCTAGACTATGAACCCTACAAGACTATGGAAAAAAGAGTTGAAGATGATAAATTGTTCCCTTCCAGTTTATAAAAATGGTAGAAAACGTGAAATCTAAGTAGTCTTTTAAAACATTAGAGACATTAACCTCAAATAGTTACCCTGTTGCAACACACATGGGTATCTGGTTCGCATGCAGATGGCTGATCAAGCGCTTGACTCCTACAAGAACAAGGGTTTAACGTCAGAATACAAATTGATAACAAGTAAATAGTATTTCAAAGGACAATGCATAAAACGAAGAAAATAGGGTGTTTTCCCACTTCAAAATGGGAAGCACAAAGTAAAGCGACAATTCCACTAACTAAAGCAGATTCTGCAGTGCAAAATCTATTCTATTCTGTTGCAATTCATATCACTTCGTTTGTTAAGCGTGTGTTCCCAACTCCCAAATTTTAACAGCACTAGTCAAAATTTTTCTTTTCTGTGTGGGGAAAATTATTTAAAAAGCAAAGAGTAAGATTCAGAAACAGAAGAGCACTCAATAAACAGAAATGCTGAGTATGTTTTTTTTTATGCATAGAATTTGTTTCTCATAAAATTCCATGGTCTCTAAAAGTTTTAATGATCTTATTTAATACCAAGGATCAAACTAAAATATTTGTTTCCATTAATAACTCAATTTCCCTGATTTGTTCATATAAAATGGCGCAATCATGCTTTGAATGTCAATGACCTACTCAATAAATGGGCCAAAACATCTAAACTCAAAGCTGGCCCACTTAATGAACCATTACCCAATCCAACCTTTGTAAACTGAATATTCCAATGATGATATTTTCAGCATCAGATTCTAGCTAAAAGATTCGTGTTGATGGATCTAAAGTTGTAAGTTCCCTATATTATCCAAGCATTCTAACACAATGGATTAAAAAATGGACAAAAGTTTGGTTGGGTTGCTTTGATCCGACAGAAAACTTGTAGAGTATTAAGACATGACTGATCTAAACCAAACGAAAGCAAGCCCAACCAATACTCTGAATATAAAAGTTAGATTTAGGATGTAAATGAGATGATATACCAAAATTAGCACCAAATAATAGAAAGAGCTAGTCACTTAATTTGAAACAAGTTCAACAGCATTTGGGCCTCATGCTTTTACAAAAGTGCAAATAAACATATAGGTTGCTTTTTTTTTCATTTAATATAAATTTTTGGTCTCATCCTAAAAATCTTAAAATAATAATTCATTGCAATTACAGATATACATCAGGGAAAGCCTACTTAAGAGTCTCATTAAAACTTGCTACTTGAACATCAATCGGGTGCTCAATATGATTCCTCACAGAAGCTGGGGCGTATGGTGACTTGACTCTTCCCATTATCCAATTCATGTAATCTTGTGTAGCATAAAAGACGTGTCATTACTTCTATGTCCTATACATTTTTCTGTAAGATCAACATCAAACCAACATTCAAATTATTGTCTTCTCATTTAATTCAATTATGTTGCACATTTACAATATTGCACAAGTGATTATTGAAAGACATATCATTACACATACTCAAAGACATGACCTTTTATTTCGATTAATTATAATTTCTTGTGATACATAAACTTGTAGCCTGTTAAAGCACCTGTCCATGTCAGCATATAGCTGTTAAAGAATTGTACGGCCAATCCCAGATTGGCTACACTCTTGTATCTCAGTTTCTATATATAGTAGTCTATGTAAAACATTTTCTAATAATAAGAAATATTACTTCATTCATGTTACATCCATTTGTCTTTCTCTGTTTTGTCCGGAAGTTCTAATCAAGAACTTCTTTATGGTATCAGAGCAAGAAAGCTCTGCAGCAACGAATCCTCATGGCAGATCAAGGATCAGAGGTCTCGATTCGCTCCAATACATCCTCCGCTGCTCCTTCCGCCGTCTTCATCATTCCACCTCAACTGAAATTTCTCATCTCGAATCTTAAAAGCTTGGTTCCCATTTCTCTCACCAGCGAGAATTACGCAATATGGAGACTGCAGATTCATCAAAATTTCTCTGCAAATGGCTTCTCCGATTATCTCTCCGGGCAAGAAGTCTGTCCACCAGAAAGCTCCATTACCGAGCACAAGCAATGGAAGATCATCGATCAAAACCTCTCATCCGCTCTCTTTTACACTATCTCCGCTTCCATTTTACCATACGTCATCAACCTGAAATCCTCTCATGAGGTCTGGTTCACTCTCGAGAAACGACTTCAACCGACGAATCGATCTCGCGTGATCCAGCTCAAGAACGAGCTGCATCAAATACAAATGAAAGATAGCTCCATGCAACAGTACTTGGCACAGATCAAGATTCTTGTAGATAGCATTGCTGCCGCCGGATCCACGATTGATACCGAGGATGTTGTCCTATACATCTTAAACGGACTTCCATCTCAGTACAATGCGTTCAAGACATCCATTCGAACATCTCTAAATCCAATTAGTTTAGATGTTCTTTATTCTCTTTTATGCAGCAAGGAGATCAATCTCCGCCAAGAACAAGCTAAAGAAACTCTCCATCAGACAGATTCGGTGGCTCTTATGTCCAACCGAAACAATTACAACAGAGGAAGATTCAACAAGAATCACGGACGGAACACAAACACACGACAAACACCGCAATCCACCGCAAATTCACAGAGTTCAAATCAAGGACAGAGACCCATTTGCCAAATCTGTGGTAAAACAGAGCACTTGGCGCTAAACTGTTGGCACCGATGCAATATAAACTACGCCCCAACTACAACAAATTCCAGGGCATTCACGGCTCAACAGCAACAGGCAAACCACACGGATTGGGTCTTGGACTCTGGGGCCTCGTCACATTTAACCGCCGATCTTACGAATCTTTCTCAATCCACTCCCTACAATGGACATGATTCAGTCTCCATTGCCAACGGTAACAGTCTACACATTTAGAATTCGGGACAAGGCATATTGCCTTTACCGGACTCGATGCGTAAGCTACATCTTCAAAACATTTTACATGTGCCCTCTGTCTCTCACAATTTATTATCTATCTTTAGACTAACCAATGACATTACTATTTGTTTTGACGCTCATGGTTTCTCTATTAAGGATCGCAAGGACAATCAACTTCTTCTCCGAGGTCCAGCTCACAATGGTCTCTACCTCATCAAAACTACACATAAGCCGACGAACTCTGTCTCTGCCTTCAAAGCTAACAGCAATCTCACCTCTATGTGGAACGCAAGGCTGGGACACCCAAATGACCGGATACTTCATGCTCTGGGCAAACAGATTCCCGAACTCAGGAGCTCATCCGATTCTTTACTTACTTGTATTTCCTGTAAAGTGGCTAAAAGCCATAAACTGCCTTTTTTACCTAGTATTTCTCAGTGCACCAAACCTTTCCAGTTAATCCATTCGGATGTCTGGGGACCCTCTCCGCAGACATCTCTCAATGGATATAAATACTATGTTGTCTTCATCGACGACTTTACTAGATTTTCTTGGCTCTACTTAATGCGTAATAAGAACGAAACATTTCATAAATTCCAACATCTTCACAATTTGATTAAAAACAATTTTAACAGCAACATTCAAGTTTTTCGTTCAGATGGAGGCGGGGAGTTTATCAACCGTGACTTTCAGTTATACTGCTCTACACATGGCATCACGCACCAAGTAAGCTGCCCGTATACTCCTGAGCAGAACGGGCTTGCGGAACGCAAGCACCGTCACCTTCTTGACCTCACTCGAACATTTCTTCACACTGCCCATTTACCTCAATCTTTTTGGGCGGAAGCTATTTCAACCGCCAACTATTTAATTAACAGACTACCCTCCTCTGCGATTTCTAATCAAATTCCCTTCCATAAACTTCACAACAAACCTGCCACCTACACACATCTCCGCACCTTCGGGTGCTTGTGTTTTCCCTGGCTCAAGCCTCAAGCCTCTAACAAACTCTCTCCTAGATCCCAAGAATGTCTATTTCTTGGGTACTCATCTCAACACAAAGGCTATAGATGTCTTGAATTATCCACCAATCGTATGCACATTTCACGTCACGTTGTGTTTGCTGAAGATCAGATTCCTTTCAAAACCAACATTACCTCCTGTTCGTCAGAAAATTCTCAAACAAATCCCTCCCCGTTGCTACTTGTTCCTACCTCATCCATTTCTCATTCATCCTCTACCAATTCTCTGTCTTCAACTAAATTGCCCTCCATCATCACACATCCAGTAACTGTGCCCGTTTCTGATTCTCAAATTCATGATCATACTGTCTCTGAATGCCCTTCTATCCCATCTTCAACCAACGGCACTTTACCTCTTCAAACTACTAGACATCCTATGCAAACTCGTCTCAAAGACGGTATCTCTAAACCCAAGAAATTCTTTGATCTCTCGGCTATCACTGCGTCCGATCCTACGCCGATTTCCTATGCCCAGGCCAGTACACAAGCTCACTGGCGTGATGCTATGCTCTCTGAATTTCATGCATTGCAACAGCAACAAACTCGGACGTTGGTGCCACCTCCGCCGAATCAACCAATAATTGGCTGCAAATGGACCTTTAAGAAGAAATTACAACCTGACGGCCAGGTAGCTCGATTGGTTGCACTCGGTTGCTCACAAGAATATGGTATCAATTATACCGAAACTTTCAGCCCGGTGGCCAAAATGGTCACGATTCGCATGCTTCTCGTTGTTGCTCTCCATAATAACTGGAATATTACTCAATTGGACGTATCCAACGCCTTCTTACATGGCGATCTCCACGAAGAAGTATACATGCGGCAGCCGACTGGATTCATAGATAAGCAATACCCACGTCATGTGTATCGTTTGCAACGATCCATCTATGGTCTCAAACAATCGCCTCGCCAGTGGTTCCAACAATTCACCAATGCCTTACAAACTCTCGGTTTCAAATTTAGTAAAGCTGATCCTTCTCTTCTCATTTTTACTCATAATCATACTCATATTTTCATTCTCGTTTATGTAGATGACATCCTAATCACCGGAAATGATAACTCTCAAATTCAGTCATTTCTTCGGCAATTACATACAAAGTTCCGCATAAAACAGCTGGGTGAAGCCTCTCTGTTTCTTGGAATCCAAATTTCCAAAACAAAAGCAGGATACTTCTTAAGTCAGAGTCATTATGCTCAAGAGATTCTCAACTCTTCAGGCTTTTCCACCTGCAAGCCGTATCCCACTCCGCTTGGCGTCAAAAACATTAACCACAGCAACGACGATACGTTCTTCTCATATCCTCAACTGTTTCGCCGACTAGCAGGTTCCTTGCAATATCTATCCCTCACGAGGCCCGACATCTCATTCGCCACAAACATGATTTGTCAGCGAATGCATCAGCCAAGGAATTCCGACTACCGCGCTCTTAAACGCTTGCTCAGGTACATTAAGGGAACGATCAATTATGGGCTTCCACTCACAACCGGCAGCCTTCGGCTCTGCACCTACATCGACGCCGACTGGGCGTCTGATGCCATGGATCGAAAATCGATCTCCAGATTATGCACTTATCTGGGTAACAATCTTATTTCATGGTCTGTCAAGAAACAGACCACCGTAGCTAAGTCATCCACAGAATCTGAGTATCGCTCCTTACCCTCGGCTACATCCAAAGTATTATGGTTACGATGCCTAGCCAATGAACTTTGCATACCACAACATCATCCAACACCAATCTTCTGCGACAACACCTCCGCCATTGCCCTCGCCAACAATCCCATGTTTCATGCTCGAACGAAACATATCGAGATCGATTACCACTTCATCAGTGGTCACATCAAGCAGGCGTCATTCAAGTTCATCATCTCAACACCAATGAGCAAATCGCGGACATCCTCACAAAGCCTCTGTCCATCTCTCGGTTCGCCATCTTAAGAGCCAAACTAACCATCCGTCCACCGGACTGATTAGTTTGAGGGAGCATGTTAAAGCACCTGTCCATGTCAGCATATAGCTGTTAAAGAATTGTACGGCCAATCCAAGATTGGCTACACTCTTGTATCTCAATTTCTATATATAGTAGTCTATGTAAAACATTTTCTAATAATAAGAAATATTACTTCATTCATGTTATATCCATTTGTCTTTCTCTGTTTTGTCCGGAAGTTCTAATCAAGAACTTCTTTAGCCTTCTAATGAAACTAAAATTGCACAATTCCTCTTAAATAAAAAAGGAATATAGCGAGAATGAGTTTTGTCTCCCTGCATGTGCAACCATCCAACTTCATATGCTTCAAGCTGCCACATTTTAGTATTTGGTATGGCAGCATTTCAGATAGCAAATACATTATGCAACTTACCTTTTTAATAAGTTAATCGTGTCTGGATGAAGGCGAATAACTTAAGGACTGATCATGTAAGATATTAATGAATTTCAAACTTTGTAGACAAAGGTTTAAAATGGAGTAGCAAAAGGAATCAAGCGGCAACTTACATTCCTTTCGGTCACTTAGTGGTGCCTCGTAATCTCATATAGGCATACAGATTATCTCCGGTTAAGAATAGAGATTTACATAACCAACTAAAACCAGCATATATATTTAACATATGCAACTATAATCTGTAAACAAAATGCCTCATACAGCACAAGATAGTTCTACGGCCTCAAATAATAAAGGACGCATCAAGATACTGTTAAAACAATAGGCCATAAGCTACAATGACTGACCCGGCAAGAGCTGGCAGGTTGGGAATAGCTCCTGAAGCATGCCTTCCCTTTCCTCAAGAAAAGCTTCAGGGGTTAGAATGCCTGTGAGTCCGCACTCCTCGACGAAGATTCGGGCGGACTCGATTGCCTTCTTGCCCATCATTTTGGCCTTGAGGGACCAATCGAAAGTCTTGCCGAACCTCTCCAGGATCTTCTCTTGAACCACGGTGTAGAATGGCTCCGTATCTGCAATGATGATGATGAGAGAATAAGAGAACCCTACTGGTACCTGTACTCGGTGTGATTAGAGAGGGCGCGGAAGACTTACCGAGTAAGAGGCCATCCATGTCAAAGATGACATGGGTGATTCCAGGTTTTCCAGAAGCCATCGCCGCCTCATCCTTCGCCATTGGCAGATCTGCAGATCTCGGACGTTCTATGTGGAGGGAAAAGCGGGAAAGACGACACGCGGATACCTTGGCGGAGACCGGAGAGTGAGGAAATGCGCGGAGACAGCTAGACCCTCCAGCCAGTCGGAAGCCCATATGTTTTACTGGCTGATTGAATTCGACCAATTAAATATTTCTAATTAAAAAATTATCTCACAATATTTTATCATATAAATTGAAATTTTATTTTTGACTTCCTATGACTCATTGTATGATTTATTGGATTCAAATTTTTTCATTGATGCATTAGATTTTAGAGAATAAAAAGAATGAGAAAAAAGGAGAAATATGTAAAGAAAAAAAATCTAGAAAGAGAAAATTCAAGATTTGATAGAATAAAACTAAGTATACAGGATTGACTCGCTTTTTGGCTCTCCATTTAAAATGGCCCTTTGATTATTTAATTATATAATTTTTGGGTGTTACAGAAAACACTATATCAAATTAATATGACTTGAAAAATATATCATGCGGCTTAGATGGTGCGGGCCGTGCAGCTAATTAAATTCATGAGATAATACATATGAATAGTATCTTATTGAGCTCGAGTCTTAATGGGCAAGACTCTTCGAATGATGTTGTCAACAAACTAATTAAACTCGCTCACTTGAAATTAGTTAGTTGAAGGGAAAAATCGGCCTCCTTAGGGGTGAATTTGGTTGCACGATTGACCACCTAAATGGTGAATTCAGCTACCTAAAGTTGTCAACCTTAAGTGTAACTTTGGCCACTTGAATGGCGAATTCAGCCACCTAAAATCATCTACCTTAAAGTTAAATTTGGCCACCTAAAGTAGGCAACCTGAAGGGTGAAGTTAGCCACCTTAAGGGTGAATTTGACTACTTGAAGTTGGCAACCTTACGTTGGCTAGTGGAAAATAAATTCTATAATTCAAAACATTAATATACATTTGTATTCATTTTCTAAAAATTCATATATACTACTCAAGATCTACATAATCATATCAAAACTACTATGACTTGAGTACAAAAAAAAAAAAGAATTGAAAAAAAAAAAAAAAAAAAAAAAACTAAAATAAAAAAGAACCTGAACTTAAAAGAATTGTGATCAGTCTTACAACATAACTCCCTTTGCATGATCTAAAAGTATTTAACCACATATAATGAGCTTAAGAGCCTAATAAGCAACCAAATCCTATAGCTTAAATGCCCTGGCTATCAGGGGTGTCAAATAGAAGCCTGACCTGAAAATCGGATCCAAAACCAACCCAAAAAAATCTAAGTTCATATCAACCCGATAAAGAAATGGGTTGGGTTTGGGTCCAAAATTTGGACCAGTTTATAGTTCATGTAGAGTTCGGGTTAACCCAACAGCTTGGTTGACCCGCATACCCCCCCCCCCCGCATCACATGACCCCATGTATTATAACATATACATATAGTTTGATTTTTCTACTTTATGTCTTTCTCTTCACACGCAAGTGCCTTGATGGCTGGAGTCCCTGGGCCTTCTGAAATCTTGGCGTTATCGTGCTTTCGGTTTCCCCTTATCTTTCTCGATTTCTTATTGCAAGTTCTCTAAATCTCTTCTCCGAACCTCCTCCATTCTTGTGTTGTAATATTCCCTATTTATATTTAGTTCTCTGTAAGATTTTTTTATTCAGGTTTTTCTATTTTTTCTCTACCTCTAATTCGAGTGTGTAAATCCGTAAATCTAATTTTGATGGGAGTTAGATTTACTCGGATTTACGCCGTAAATCCCAGATTTATGTAGACGTCGGATTTAGATGACCTACGAAAACTGTTTGGCTGGATTTATGTTAAATCTTGCTTAAATCCAGGTGCAAATCCGATACCAAATGACCCCTGAGATTCCAATACAAACCCTCACTCCTCTTTTTTCTTTTTTACGGGAAATCAGAAATCCAACCCAAGAAAAAAGATATTTTCCTTCTCTCTGAGATTTCTAAATCTGAAATACAATGAACAAACTCCCCTCTCTCACGAACTTTTATTTGGTCCGATGTAAGGATGCAGAGGAACATCCGGTTGTAGGCAAAATCCCGCCTATACCGAGGTGTACCGAGTTTTTTTTGGAAAAACTGGGTACACCTCGGTATAGGCAGGATTTTGCCTACAACCGGATGTTCCTCTGCATCCGGTCGGAGGACGTAATAATTGTTCCTCTCTCACATGAACAATAGGTATTTATAAATAGTTAAGGACTAAAGAAGCTACAAATTACAATCCTACCCCTACTTAAAAATCAGAAAATAAAACCAAGAAAATAATAAGAACGTAAATAATAAAAAAACCTAAAAAAATAAAATGCTTAAAATTAAAACAAATAAAACTATATCAACGCTTTAAGTTCAATTAATTTTGAAAGTAATAATTGCCAAGTTCTTTTTATATAATATTTAAGAACACTTAAGATAACTCCAATAACTACAGACCAAGTCTTACTTGTAGAAGAGACGAGAGAGACAAAAAGGCATAATAAGATTTTAATTGGTTACCAAAATCCTTCTAAAAAGTTCAACTAGCTAGTAAATGAACTATCCATTGTAAGGACTTGAAATTGTGATTTTAAACACGAGATCATTATTAGTTTATTCTTAGTCTATATTTGCTCCTATTAGGTATTTAATGTAAGTGAAATTATTACGTACGACCACTGGATGCCGTATGGAGGCCAATGAGGAAGTGCCACATCACCAATTTACTATATACTTCTGTGTATCAAGTGACGTGACACATCCTGATTAGCCTCCGGATGGTCCGATGACCGCACGTAATAAATTCTTTTAACGCAGGCACCTTAAATATGTGAGTTGCATTATAATGCAAGTCTGTATAATTTAAGATATACACACATAAAATTTTGAAGTTGTTGAGCTTACCTTAAAGTGTTCAATATTGTTTAGCATGAGTGGGATAATGTAGTAATACTTTTGTTCACAAATTAAAGAAAAATAAAAATCTAAGTCATAAACTATGTGTTCATGCACCACACAACTCTTCTCAATGATTTAAACTTGTTGTGATGATTGATTAGCATATTTGAAGACTTATTTTAGACAATGCATGAAAGTTATATAAAAAGCTTAATTGAATCATAAGCAATATCACTCTCATACTTGTTATCATCATAACAAACTATCCAATTGAGCTTATGGTATCGTAAGCACAAAGGAGAGAGAATGAGTGAGAGCGGGAAAATTGGTAGGTCCTATAATTTTTAGAGAAAATAATTAAAATTGTCCGTTAATTATTTATGAAAGATTAAAATAGTCCTCAACTATATTAAATATATCATTTTGCTCACTCAGCTCTTTATAATGGATCAAAATAGTCCCAATGTAAGACTATTTTGATTAATTCTTAAAGATTTGAGAAATCAAAATAATAATTTAATATATTATAGACTATTTTGATCTTTCATAAGCAATCAATGAATCATTTTAATCCATTTATCATAATTTATATTTATTAATTTATAAGCAGCATGAAAGAGGGCTTAAATGTGATATAAATAAAATTTAGGAAGGGACGATCGAGGTGAGTGCCACTGTTAAGTATGGATGTTTCCAGCCGAGCGCTGTGGAGAAAATCGTATCTTCTTCCTTCAGTTCTCTGCTCTCACTGTAGCGGCATTGTGCCCTTTCGTTGGGTCACCAAAAGAACGGTTCGGATGGCTTCCCTTTCATCCAGCGCCGCTCAGTCCGCCGCCATCCCAGATGCCGCCGCTTCGTCCTCCGCCGCCACCCATGGCGCTCCTTCGTCCTCCGCAGCTACCGATGCGGCCGCTTCCTCCTCCTCCTCCTCCTCCGAGGCTTCTGCTTCCTCTGCCATCGGCTTCCTCTCACTCTGCCACCGCCTTAAGGTATCGTCTTTGAGCGCGCGCTTTCTCTCACATTTAGTAGCTTACTTGATCTGATTGCAGACGACAAAGAGGGCTGGATGGGTGAGGAAGGGAGTTCGGGAGCCGGAATCAGTGGCGGACCACATGTACAGAATGAGCGTGATGGCTTTAATAGCCGACTATAGCCCCGATATTGATCGGGATAGGTGAGCGTCTGAATTAGGTTTCCCATTTCCGTGGAAAAAAAATCGTTTTGCACGAGTAATAGAGCTGCTATAGCGGATTGGAGCTCACTCTTATGATGTTTTTTTAACCTTTTTAAAATCTTTTTAGGTGTATTAAGATGGCCTTGGTGCACGACATCGCAGAAGGTGAATGCCTGCTTCTTGGTTATTTGCTAAGGGGCGTTCTTTGTTATTTATATAGTTTCTTTTATGGAAACTCATATAATAAGGCATAAGGGATGATTTTCATTTTGGTTCAAATTGTTTCACCCTAAAAGCGCTATTTGGTTGTAAGATTTAGCCAAAATTTAGCCAAGATATAGGCTGAATATTGCTAAATAGTTATTTAAGCCACTAAAATTTAATTACTTTATTAAATCCCATTTTCCTACAATTTTATGCTAAATCCCACATTTAGCAAAACTCGGGGGAAGTGGGATTTAAGAGATCAACTCCATTTTATCCTAGTTGTGCATTTTTTTATTATTCATTTAAATCCTAAATCTTCAAAATATTTGCTAAACAATTACTAGGTTTTAACCATATTTAACAACTAGTATGCCAAATAGGTTTTCAGGATTCGGAAATTTACTAAATATTGGTTTACAAGATTTACCAAATTATGGTTGAATTAAATCCTAATTAACCAAAACACTAAAGTGTTTGGAATTGAGTTAATATACATATAGTTCTTTTTCCTCAGCTCATTTTTATAAAATTCAGAAGTGAGTTTCACTTACTACAAGTTGAAAGTCATCTTCATTTTACCATTAGCATCAAGTAATAATAAGATTATGTAAACTAAAAGAAAGACGTATTAGAATACTACTTTTATTCATAAAAGTAATATATCAATATAAAATTAATGAGATGATTGTTGAAATTGATACTCACTCCTGCCAAACAAACATTGAAATTAATGTCACAAGTTGTATGTTCATGCAAAACAAACAAATATTATTGAAACTTAATTCGATGTAACTCATTCATAGAAATCAACTCGAACTATTTTCAAACATTCATGTCAAAACATATTTGAACAACATTTTTTGAGTTAATCATTATCTTCAGCCCATGTTAACGTGTTTCTGTGTCTTGAAATTAGTGGATGATATGTGTGACACTTGATGATTTAATATTAATTGCGAATTAGTTTAACATATGATGTTCTTACATTTGAATGAATGGTCAATCTAGCTTATACTCCATGTCATGTTATATGTGATCAGGCTTATGAAATCCGCTTCTCCTATTTCTTTTTCAAATTTATTACTCTTTTCTCGCAAGCTTTAGCCTAAAAAAATATAGTCTTTTCAAGTTGGGCAAATGATTTTGATAAAAAATTACCAAGGTTTAGGTATTTGTAAAAAAAATGGAAAATGTTTGCAGGAAGTGTTAGATTGTTATATTCTTGGACATGATATCTCTTCAAAGTGTATGACTAAGCAATATTGGATTATGAGTAGTCAATTGTAGTTTGAAATGTGCTTGGTTGTAAACAGCATAAATAGAAATTTTTTGCTTCATCATCTTATTTTAGAGGTTCTTCCATTTTCAAGTAGACTATTGATGAAATGTAAAGAAGGAACCATGTAAAATAATAAGTTTTAACTTTTGAGTAATGCTACAGTACCATAACCATGGCAAAAATTAAGTGTTAATGCGTTGGTACGTTTAGTTAGCATCAAAAGTTTGGGTTAAATACAAAATTTCATAGTATTATTAAGCTTTGTTTCCCTCTTGGTGCCAATGCGTTAAGATTTTCTTGAAGTTATTGGTGAGGCAACATAACATTTTGCATAAGTTTTCTACTTTTATTTTTGCACTTTTGAGCCACAATTCTGCTCAGTTCCCCTTACAAAATTGTCCTTCAGCTATTGTTGGTGATATCACCCCATCAGATGGTGTTCCAAAAGATGAGAAGAGTCGAAGAGAGAGAGAAGCAATAAATCATATGTGCAACTTACTTGGAGGAGGATCTAGAGGTAGATTATAATATAAATTATGCTTATGGTATTCCTACTGTTAGAGGTAGATTAATATATATATATATATATAGTGAGAATTGTGGCTATTAGCTACTTGTTTGGTGAATAGGAGTTGGATGCTGCATGCCACATGTATTTTATGTAGTTTACTCTTATAACAACATCGTTTTGTAAATGATAAAAATTTTGTTTGCATAGAGCAATGTGATTGTTAGACATCTAATGTGTAGTTAGTAGTTAATACTCACATTATTTGTGCAATGAAATTCTTGCATTCTAGGATTACAAAATTAGCCCTTAAGAGTTTCATATTCTGCACTTGCGAGGCTAAAAGTTAAAGTTAGCTTTTATACATTTTATTGAAATGTATTTATAGCTTGATAGTTTAAAATGATATTTTCCTTTAATTGCCCCACATTCTTTTTTTTTGGTGGGGGGGGGGGGGGATTTACATGCATGCCACACATTTTTTTATATATTGAAATATCAAGCTCCTAAATTTTGATTTTTAATAATACAATATGCTGCTTTCTCCATCACATCAAAACATATGAATGAAAAAGTGTTTTTCATTTTAGAAAAGTTAATACTAGTTATAATTTTGATGTGATTTAAAGATTTAAATGTCAAAGTTTGGGTGTTAGATATGTAAATACATAGAAATTATGTTTTAGCTATGTAAATTAGCTCAAACACAAATATGCACAAATCCTCTTTGGTTGTCTATGCCATTCGAAATTTGCTTGGACATCCTCATTTAGGGTCTTTTTTGTTTGGTTAACTTCTGGCTCGACAATATGTCCTTAGGGCTTAATGTCTTGTTCAACAGTCTTTTTTACCTTAACCTGTCATTCCTCCAAAGAAGTCCAGAATTCAATCATTAATACAATATTCTGATTGTATTAAATCAAATCCAGTCAGATCCATGGCAGCTTTACATGAACTCGGTCATGGATCAAATAGTTGTAAAGAAAACCAATGAAAATCTAAATGCTAAAATTTTGATCTAGACACCATGATTTTTTTTGACAAACAATACTTACAAACTTGCTTTTCAAACCTATCAAACGAATAAGTCGCATTATGGTTCTCTTGGCTAAGGTTCTCGAGTTATTTAATCAATTTCTTTAAGTTATCGTGCTTGCATATATGTCTATTTAGAAACTCAATATTACTGTCAACTTTTTGAAAAACATTTTAGTATATCTTACTAAATTTTGCTTTTTGCAATTCTAATGCATTATTTGCTTACACGTTTATGCCATAAAGAAGTCTTCATCTAATTAATTTAAAATGCAATGTGGTTAGCCGATGGGCATTGATAATTGGTGGTTGCCAACGATGAAGGCATTGATAATTGGTGGTTGACAACCATTGGTGGTGATGGTCGGTGTCCAGTAGTGGCTAGCCGATGGGAGCTTGCCATTTGGGGGGTTTGGCGGCGGGTTGTCAGCAGTGGTGATTGGTGGCGGGTTGTTGGCTGGGCTGGCCGGCGACGAGCAACAGTGGTGGCTGACGGTAGGTGGCGATGATGATTGGAGGTGGTTGCCGTTGGTCATAGGTGTGTGGGGCCTGCCGGCGGCGGTGACAGTGGTGGCCGGTGGTGGTGGTGGCCGATGGCAAGAGGTTGCTTGTGGTGAAAATGATTTTCGCTCAAAATTATGCAAGTTTACTTTACCAAAAAAAGAACTAAAATGCTTTACACTATATTCCTTTTATTTTACTCTGTGCTCCTTTTTCTTCCAACAAAACATCAATGTTTTCAAAACATGATAAAAAGTTTACTTTACACACTTTATTTCAAACCAAACAGCCCCATAAATTATTTGCAGATTAAAGAATCAAATGACTAAACCAATTTGGTAATAACTGGCAACTTTTAATCCTTTGATGCTTAAAAAATTAATAAAGTTGTTTATATAAATGTTTGTTAGTGATGGACAACGAACGAAGAAAGGCAATGGATAATAGGTATTGTAATATTATTATTTCAATGGGTTTAGGTGTAGACAACAAGATGTACTTTTATTGTTCGCTAAAAACTTTCATTTTTGGTGGAGCTCTCCCATTCACAGGCATGCTAGTAGAGTGGGCTGCAAGGGTCAGTCAATCTCATGTGTGTGAAGCTTTGGTAGTTGATGTAGATAAGGGATATAGGGGACCCTATATTTCTTGAACACAAAAGACACACAAGAAGATTATATGCTTATAAGTTATAAGCTTGCAAGATAATAGTAAACCAAATGCAACTAAAGGAAGTGTAACATATATCTTAAGAAGCAACAAATCAAGCTCTATTTGCCACATATTTTCCCTGGAGCTCTAACTTCTTAGATGATGAAACAAATAATGGTCTTATAGAAAGAATACAATGCCATGCCAAATAAATCCTTGCTATTAATTGCTTGCTATGGACGATAGGGGACCATTGTTGGGGATCAAATTTCATCCCAAGAAGGGGTTGTTGATACTCAATACTGATAACCCTTGTGTGATCTACCTCTATTCTCTTGAATTACCTAGAAGGTGTTCAATTGATTGACACACACTTCGTTTGCTGTAGTTAAGCTTGTGGAAATACCTAACTTCAGCTCTACATAGCCTATCAGCCTATCAGGTTGCACACAAAGACTTTCCCCCCAGATTCAGGTCCTATCCACAAGAAAGATTTTAGCGCCCGCTTAGGCTGTTGGATCTGGATCATTTCAATAAGCCAAAGATCTCGTTTTTTTTAGAAAAGATCTTTGGGAACACTTACATTAATGATCCTGAACGGTTAAGCCCTAAATAATTAACTAATATTAATAAAAATCTGCTAAAAGAGCATTGTTAAACTGTTCCCTAAATACATATAAACTAATAAAGCCACAAAAAATGATAACCAATCACGCCATTAGTGACACATGATTCTTGATTGGAAAGTATTTCAAAGAAATTATTCAGCATTTTTATTTTAGATTGATTTATGGAATCCCTTTGCAGCCAAAGAGATGCTTGAGCTGTGGATGGAGTATGAAGAAAATTCTTCTCTAGAGGCAAAAGTTGTTAAGGATTTTGATAAGGTATGTGCTTAGTTTCATTTACAAGTATTTATCTAGTGCACCGAAATAGTTCACCTACTTCATGTATGTACACTGAATTTCATGCAAATACACGATGTAAGTGCAATGAAAATTAGAAAGAAAATTTGATCTTTTGAAATGCAATGTTCACATATACTCTAACAAACATTGACAATTGTACAAATGCAACATGTTGGAATGCTGTGCGGATTGAATAATAAATGTATTTTAAATATCTCGCTTCGTGAATGTTGACCCCAATACTAGTGTCGGGATCGAGTCGACCGCGCAAGGTGAATTTCGAAATAAAAAAAAGCACGAAATCGCGCATAATTCACCCGACGTGTGTCGACTCAAAACCAAAAATCGCCGAAACGACCTCCGTTCGCAAAACGGACAGCGCCGATGCGTCCGGAGCAACGGAAACAGCTAAGATCGACACCTATATTGGTGGGGGTAGACGGTCGGCGAAAATTTAAATTTTGGGCGCGTGAATCGAGATGATGACTTGTGCGAGCGGCGACGCGGAGACTCACTCGATGCAAGATTAAATTTTTTATTTTATTTTGTGCAATATAATTAAATTCTTTTTAGAAAGAGAGGGAGAGAAAGAGAGATTTTAAATAAAAGAGAATTTTCCTCTAAATAAAAAAATCCAAAAAATACCCTAAATACGCACTTAAACCCTCCTCACTCCCTCATACTCTCCCAACCGATCCCTCCTCTCACACTCACGCCATTCATACACTCTCCTAACCGAACCCTCACGCCACTCTCACGCCATTTTCACGCAAGGAGCCGCTCCCATCTAAACTCCCTCTCCTCTCTTGCGATCCAACCGCCGACCTCTCTTCTTCCTCCAAGTGCAAGGTAATTTCTTCCTCTTCTTCCTCCTCCATTCTTCTTCTCCATCTTCTTCTTCTTCCTTCCTTCTTCTTCTTCTCTCCCATTTTTCTTTTTCTTTCTTCATCCCTCCACATTTCCTTTCATTTTCTTCCATTTTTCTCTTCCCCTCTCTTCTCCTTCCTCTCCTTCATCTTCATCTTCTTCCTCCACCCCAATCTCAACAAACCTACAAAACTCTAATTCTATTTTCTTTTTTATCTCCACATCCACTCACCAAACCACTCACTACCCTTCACAAAAAATGTTCCTACACACATCCTACACCCATCCAATAAAAAAATTTCATCATCCCTCATTTTCTCTCTCTAACCTAGAGAGAGAAAATTTTCTCTCTCTAGAATGAGAGTGAAATCTTTTCATGAATAGCTCCATCTCCACCCCAAGCATCTTCCATCTCCACCATACCTCTAAATTCCTTCCCTAGAGAGAAAAAAATTACACTCTCTCTTTCTCTCTCCAAAATTGAGAAGAGATGGATTTTCTCTCTCTAAATCTCTCCTCTTACTTACTTACCCCTCCTAAACCCTCTCTACGCAAATTCCTTTCAAATTCTATCTTTCCCTCTCTTTCTCTCTCTAGAAAGAGAGTTTCCTTCTCTCTTTCTCTCTCCAAAAATTAGAGAAAGAGAGATTTTTTCTCTCTAACCTCATTCCCCCAATTTCCTACACACCCTAAACCACCTTCCACAAAAAATCCTTTCTTTCCCTCCCTTTCTCTCTCTAGAAAGAGAGCTATCTTCCTTTCTATCTCTCTTTACATTTTATTTTAAATAAAAGAAAAGCATAAATGATTAATTAAATTGCACAAATATTAAAAAAAAATTTTAAATTGTGCATCGCAGGTTTCCCACCGTCGCCGCCTTCCGTCGTCACTACCTCGATTACTGCGCACCCAAAGTAAAAACTAGTATTTTACATTTTTGTGCATGAAATAAGTACTCGTGACCGCTTTTTTTAGCGGGCGAGGAAACTTAAGTACCCGTGACGCACTGAGCGAGCGGAGAAATTTGTATGCATGAAACTTAAGTACCCGTGACTGTTTTTTTAGCAGGCGGAGAAATTTGTTATTTGTAAAAAAATTGTTTAATTAAGTACCCGTCACTGCTTTTAGGCGAGAAAAATGCTAAACTTTAAATCTATGCTCAAAGACCCCGTGACCGCTTTTTTTAGCGAGCGGGGATTGGAACTGCGGCCGCGGTCACCCGACACCTACCGTGACTGCCTTTCTTGTCTGGCGGGAAGACCTTACACACTCCGATGCAGCCCCCTATGCGGGGATGATGCCGGAGTGCTACCAAAAATTTCTATACGTATTTGATTGACGACTAGTCTTAATCGAAAGTTATCTCTCGTGATCGAGAGGGGTAATTAACTATAGGGGCTTGCGCCTATAGGAAACCAGAACTCAGATCATAAAGTCCTCACAAAATGAGGGCGAAATCTCTGGGTAGTGTTTTATATACAAACCCATCTGCCTTTCAAAATTTATCCTGAAATTTAGTTCGTTAAAACTCCCTCGCCAAATAAAAAGAAGAGCGGGTGGAGGCCGGAGCATAGCACGATGACCTGTCAACCCGAATAAATATTTAAAGAAGTTGATTTGTTGAAATTTTTGGCAGCACTCCAGTGTCGTCCCCGCTTAGGGGGCTGCATCAAAGTGTGTAAGGCCTTCCCGCCTGCCAAGAAAGGCAGTCACGGTAGGTGTCGGGTGACACCGCAACTGCAGTTTCAATCCCTGCTCGCTAAAAAAAGCGGTTACGGGGTCTTTGAGCACAAATTTAAAGTATAGCATTTTCCCCGCCTAAAAGCAGTGACGAGTACTTAATTAAACAATTTTTTTTTACAAATAACAAATTTCCCCGCCTGCTAAAAAAAGCAGTCACGGGTACTTAAGTTTCATGCATACGAATTTCCCCGCTCGCTCAGTGCGTCACGGGTACTTAAGTATCCTTGCCCGCTAAAAAACTGGTCACGAGTACTTATTTCATGCACAAAAATGTAAAATACTAGTTTTTACCTTGGGTGCGCAGTAATCGAGGTGGCGACGACGGATGGCGGCGACGGTGGGAGACCTGCGATGCACAATTTAAATTTTTTTTTAAAATATTTGTGCAATTTAATTAATCATTTATGCTTTTCTTTTATTTAAAATAAAGTGTAGAGAGAGAAAGAAAGGAATAGGATTCATGTGAGAGAGAATGAAAGGAAGAGAGCTCTCTTTCTAGAGAGAAAAAGAGAGGGAAAGAAAAAATTTTTGGTGGAATGGAGTTTAGGGTGTGTAGGAAATTGGGGGAATGAGGTTAGAGAGAGAAAATCTATCTTTCTCTAATTTTTGGAGAGAGAAAGAGAGAAGTAAACTCTCTTTCTAGGGAGAGAAAGAGAGGGAAAGATGAAATTTGAAAGGAATTTGCATAGAGAGGGTTTAGGAGGTGTAAGGAAGTGAGAGGAGAGATTTAGAGAGAGAAAATTCATCTCTTCTCAATTTTGGAGAGAGAAAGAGAGAGTGTAATTTTTTTCTCTCTAGGGAAGGAATTTGGAGGTATGGTGGAGAGGGAAGATGCTTGGGGTGGAGATGGAGCTATTCATGAAGAGATTTCACTCTCATTCTAGAGAGAGAAAATTTTCTCTCTAGGTTAGAGAGAGAAAATGAGGGATGATGAAATTTTTTATTGGATGGGTGTAGGATGTGTGTAGGAACATTTATTGTGAAGGGTAGTGAGTGGTTTGGTGAGTGGATGTGGAAATAAAAAAGAAAATAGAATTAGGGTTTTGTAGGTTTGTTGAGATTGGGGTGGAGGAAGAAGATGAAGATGAAGGAGAGGAAGGAGAAGAGAGGGGAAGAGAAAAATGGAAGAAAATGAAAGGAAATGTGGAGGGATGAAGAAAGAAAAAGAAAAATGGGAGAGAAGAAGAAGAAGGAAGGAAGAAGAAGAAGATGGAGAAGAAGAATGGAGGAGGAAGAAGAGGAAGAAATTACCTTGCACTTGGAGGAAGAAGAGAGGCCGGCGGTTGGATCGCAAGAGAGGAGAGGGAGTTCGGATGGGGGCGGCTCCTTGCGTGAAAATGGCGTGAGAGTGGCGTGAGGGTTCGGTTGGGAGAGTGTATGAACGGCGTGAGTGTGAGAGGAGGGATCGGTTGGGAGAGTATGAGGGAGTGAGGAGGGTTTAAGTGGGTATTTAGGGTATTTTTTGGATTTTTTTATTTAGAGGAAAATTTTCTTTTATTTAAAATCTCTTTCTCTCCCTCTCTTTCTAAAATGAATTTAATTATATTGCACAAAATAAAATAAAAAATTTAATCTTGCATCGAGTGAGTCGCCGCGTCGCCGCTCGCACAAGTTGTTGTCTCGATTCGCGTGCTCAAAATTTAAATTTTCGCCGACCGTCGACCCCCACCAATATGGGTGTCGATCTTAGCTGTTTCCTTTGCTCCGGACGTATCGGCGCTGTCCGTTTTGCGAACAGAGGTCGTTTCGGCGATTTTTGGTTTTGGGTCGACACACGTCGGGTGAATTATGCACGGTTTTGTGTTTTTTTTTATTTCGAAATTCACCTTGCGCGGTCGACTCGATCCCGACACTACTATTGGGGTCAACAGTGAAGCATAAATATATGTTGAAATTTCACAACTAATTTTAAATATCAATTCTCTTTCAAAAATGAGAAGTTTGTTTGTTCTCCAATGAATGTACTACAACTTGAATTTTTAATCTGAAAATGCTACTAGGATTGAATGTAATGTGTATATGAATTTTGTTGGAGAAATGTGCTCGTCTCAAGAAGTGTATTTGATGCAAGCAAAACTAGAGTAAAGAGACAAATTGGAGAACACCAGAACAAGACTTAAACCAAACTCGATTCATATGTAGCTTACAAACATCCAAACAAACTTAGGAGAAACAAAAGTCAAATCGAACAAAACAAAATAAAAACATAAAAATGCTATCCTCAGTAAAACCGTCTAGTGGTCTCCTCACATGCAACGAAAGTAGGAAATTTAAGAAAATTGTGCTTAGGCTTGCAAACCAAGGGTCCACCACTGCAAAAGAGTCCAACGTCCTTTCCAAACTCCTCCGGCAAATGTCTCCAAATTTCA